TTTTCTCTGTATCTATGAAGCGACTTGAGGAGACTTTTGTTGTGATTTGGCGCAATATAAATAAAATTGAATTGAATTGAATTAAACTTGTGAACAAGCAGACAAAAAAATCAGATTTTATCAAAAAATCTGAAATTAGCATTGAGACCTGTAGTGTGAACGTAGCCTTAGTCTCTGTGTTTCATTCAGTCTGTGTTGCATCATCTGTGCATCCACCTCCCATGTTACAATCAGGTTTCAGGACTCTGTGCTGGTCATGGTCATAGTTCTTTCATGTTCCAGCACACAGTCCTGTTCATAGTTGTTTCAGTCATCCTCGTCATAGTCGTCATAGTCACCTAGTCTTAGCCTTACTAGTTGTCTTAGTTAAGTCTCAGTTTCAAGTTCTCTGTTTTCCCAGTTCAGCTTCTATTTTAGTTTTGCCTCTGTGCTTTCTGCTTTGTTTGCCGCCTCTAATCTAACTAAAATTAAGGCTCGCTTTTTGTTTCAAGTTCAGTGCTGTCTCTTCATCTGTGTCCACACTTGGGTCCTCCACACACTGTCTACACAGTCAGCCACTGCTGACCGTGACAATGGCGTTTTAACGATAGAAATGGTAATTAGTTAGATTACTAGTTATTGGAAAAAAAGGAACGGCGTAAGTAACGGCGTAAGTAACGCTGTTACTTACGCCGTTATTCCCATCACTGGAAACAACCCTTGTAAAAGTGAAATGTTGGTTTTCCTGCTGAGCTGATGCTGATCCTGGGCATGTGTGCCTCTCCAGCATGCTGAGGATGAAAACTATTAACTATTAACAATATAACTATCCAGCGTCAGGAGAAATAAAAGAGGACACACGGCAGCATTAATATTAAGGACTTTAAACCCAGAACAGTCGTAAACTGTACTACTGCACATTCACCTAATGTATATATTATATATATAATGTTCTTCCTCCTTTGCTAGCTAGCTTAGCTTTTTTTTTTGTTTTGTTTTAAAACACCTGTGACTAGAAACATCTGAATTCAAAGATTAAGAGGCGTGGCCTGATATTTTACTCCATATAATGTGTGTATCCCTGTTTTTGTTCATTGTCAGTGTATCTGTTCATGCATCCTTGTTGCTCCATGGATTTCTGTAAGCAGCCTAATGAAAGGTCCACTGCCTGCAACAGTTCTGCTGGGCGCCTCTTCATCTCCATTCCTAAAGAACACCACTCCTCCTTCACTGACAGCCATCTACCTGGCTTCCAGAGAGGTTCCGCCTCCTTTGCCCTTAACCTCCAGCTCAACTCCCAGAGGACTCAGACTCCACTGCTAGTCCCCTGTACTGCATTGGTCCTTGACTTCTGACTCCTACTCCTTACTCTCATCAACCTTCTCCTGGGCCTCCTTAATCCCTCTGCCTGCACTGCTGACTGTGTGCTACAGCTCTGAGTGGCCTTGGCTTCACTGCTGCTTACAGACTCGCCAGTCTGCCCTTTCTCCTTAACTGCCCCTCAACTCTGTTTGGTCTCTGGCCAACTCCCTGAAATCTACCTCTTACTGAGCCCACCTTCTGGATGAGCTTCTGAATTATTTCCACTTGTCATGGTCCTTTGTATTCACCCAGTATTTCATGTTCCACAGGGCAGACCAGTCTTCTCGGTGTCCACTCTTTGATTCTTCTTCTCTAAATCTATTCTCCTCTCTTTGGCAGTGAACTGACACTCCTGGTTGCATTTCCTGATGTCCGTGCCCTTCCTCCTTGCCCTGAACCTAAGCTTACTAATGAATCTTGTGTAGTTCATTTGACATCTTTTTGTTCTGAATTAGGCTGTGGTCCAATGTTCAGGGTCAGTAAGCTCTGAAATTAAAAATCAGGTCTTCCTCTTCTTTGCCACACTGGTTGACCATCAGAGAGAGAGATTGAAAAGTGTTTATGAGCTATTCAGGTCACCTGAGACAAGACGTGAGTGGGGACTGAAACACCTGAGAGGGGATCTCAGAAATGCATGTAGGTGGCTGATAGTTGGTGTCATAAGCCCCGCCCTCTGTTCAAAGCTGGTCATTCACAGTGGACACAGGTGGTCTCCTTTCCTGCCCTCTAAAGCCATCTGTCTTCTTGGTCCACCATGTGAACACTGGCGTCCCCAAAAGTGTGACCTTTGACTTTTAGGTGCAGGTATACAACTGAGTCTTGTCCTGTCGAGGTGGCTTTTCTATGTTGTGTTATTTTTTTGTAGAGTGTCTGATATTCATGGCGGTACAAGCTCTCCTTTCTGCACTGCAGCCACTGTGTTGTTCAGCTTGTGTTTGGGAATTTTGACCTTGACAGCCAGTTTTTCTTTGAGGATGTTGCTAGGTGTGAAATGGACTGGGATGTTACACTTGGAGAAAATTCTTTTGACAAAACTTGTCTTTTGTGTGTCTTCTTGGTCGGTGTCTGTTCTTCTCTCTGCAGCATCTTTGCTGATTTTATGAAGGCCCAGAATAATTGGATGTTGTTTTTTTTTTTTTTAGCTTTCTTTACATGTGGTTGGTGGGAGTCAAAGAGTAGGTACTGGTCTGTCTGTGGGAGATTTCAGTAAACGTCATTGTTGAGGTTTCTTCCTCCTCAGTGAACTTGATTTTTTTTTTTTTGACTGAGTTGATGTGCTTGGTGAAGGCCTCCACTTCTTGGGTTCATCTACATACCTGAACCAGTGGCTAGGTGTCCTCCCTCTGAGGGAGCCCAGAGCCTTTTTCACTTCCTCCAAAAGTTGGCTACTCTGGGTGACATAGAGGAGCCTATGGCACATCTGTGACTGCTTCACAACCCTGTTGGATGAGAGGAGAACCTAAAGAAATCTACTTCGTTCTTTTCAACTTCTCAAGACTACCATGACTGATACCTACACAGCAGCAGACTGCTCTTCTAGTCTCTCACATTAGGTGGTCCATCTGAGAATCTTTTAGATTGAGTTTAAAGACACAGACTCAGTCTTAACATTTCTCGTCTCACATTAAATTTAGCTGTTCATTTGCTGGCTGGCTATAAAAATAGGGAATTGTATTCCTGCAGATAAAATTGTTGTTGTTTTTTTTCTCTTATTGTGTGTCATCAGTTTCCCAGCTTGCCTTGGCTTTGGTAGTAGAGGTGAATGAGGGAGAAGGGTCTGTCCAATTGCCCTGTCAGTACTCAGGTTTTATACCTGAGTACAATCCCACGGTGTTGTGGACCCGTGATGATCTGGATCCAAAGTCTGTCCACATACGACGAGAAGGAGGAGACGATCTTAGAGGACAAAACCAGCTTTACAGCAGACGCACATCATTGAAGCCTGATGCTCTTGACTCTTCAGACTTCAGCCTCACTCTGAGAAAACCAACAAAGACTGACAGCGGCAACTACACCTGCTCCATCAGTGATGGGAGAGAAGAACAGAGACTGAAAAACATACAGCTGCAGGTCAAAGGTCAGCAACAAACTCCTCTTTAACTACAAAATGATCAGTATTGTAGACAAAGGTCAGAGGCCAGACTGATTGGTAGAATAAGAACCTCCAGGAAACAGAAAAGCAAACAAAATGTTGAGGCTTATTTTCAAACATTTTACACACTGTAGACACTGTACAGTAAACATGAAGCTCACTAAACCTTTGTGGGGCTCACATGAAACAACACCAGAATAATTTAGATGCTGAGTAGAAAGCGAGTCACCACTTCACCAGTTCTTAATACCTGACTACATCACCATGGTAACCTACTGTACTGTATATTTATATTTACCCCTCAGTTTAGTTATTCAAAACAAAAACAAATATTGTTATACTTCATCTCTGCTAGTAGGACAGAATCAAAAGTAAGAAACGTGTGTCATCACTATGATTTCCATCATTTTAATGCTGTCCTGTGTCCTGAGTCTGTGACTCAGTGGTTTTGATTATTATTATCTTATGTTTAAGGTTAATTGTAGTTTTTAGGATTGGGTTTTGGTTGTATTTTGATCTCCTGTTCTGTGTCTCTGTGCCTGCCCTGGTCCCATGCCTCTGTGTTTCCTCTGAGTCTGTGTCTGTAAGTTCAGTTTCTAGTTTTACTTTGAAGATTTGTGCCTCCTGTCTCATCACGTTAATTAGGCCCAGCCGTGCTCCCCTCGTGTCTCATTTCCTTGTTGCTGCCTTTTGTATTTAAGCCCTGTGTTCCCCGTGCTTAGTGTCACGTCGTCAATGTCTCATTCCTGGAGCTGTGGGGTGTTCCCTGTGTTTCCTCATGTCTCAGTTTATCATGCCCCAGTATAGTTTTGTATTGTTTTCCCTGCCAGCAATAAAGCTGAGGACTTTGAGTTACCTTTTGTGTTTGAGTGTGCGTTTGGGTCCTCTATTGCCTGCCTGCACACAGCTAATTCCATGACAACTGCTGCTGCTTCTACAGTATTATTATATCATGTTTTACTGTCCTCTCAGACCAGCAGGTGGAGGTGGGGGTGGAGGAAGGCTCAGAGTCCGTCCTCCTGCCCTGCAAAACAAAACCTGACCTGCCTGAGGACACAAGAGTGGAGTGGAATCGCTCTGACCGAGAACTCATGATGGTCCATGTGTATCCAAATAGAACCAACCTCCTTAAAAAACAGGACAACCTTTACAGAGATCGAACAAAGATGAACAAAGACCTGCTGAGAACTGGAGACCTCAGTCTGACCCTGAAATACCCCACAGACTGGGACACAGGAGGATACATCTGCACCATCTACAGGGACGGAGACATCCTGAGACAGAAAGTCGTGCTGCAGGTCAAAGGTCAGCAATAATTACATGGTGTAGATACATCTGACATCACTAAGATGAAAACTCATTTTAACATTTCAGAATAACCATGGTGGCTCTTTGATTGAAATGTGGGCCTCTTCATTAAATGCATTATTTTCATTCAGTCGGAGCTCCAAGGTCATGCTGTTCATTGTGTTTGTCCACAGAACAGTTTCCATCCTGGACTATAGTTCTCCTTGTTCTCCTGGTTCTCCTGGTGGTTCTTGTGGTTTCTGGAAGTCTTTTTTTAGTTTACGGGGACTATTTCATGTCAGGTGAGTCTCTCCTACTACTAAAGCAGGCTGACATGGAAACATGTGCTGACAGTAAATGTTGCAGCAGCTTCAGTAAATGTTCCTCCTTGAGTTGTGCTCAGTCATGTGGTGGAGAGCTTCAGATGTTCAGAGCAGACACATGAGATCTTCATGGTTTCTGTGCTGATGTGTGTGAGACATGGCCGACTGTGGAGGCTCAGTCTGTCTGTGCTTCTGCTCTTAATCCAAACATGTCTGCAGCACTTTACAGGACGCTGCAGACTAGTTACCAAAGAACGAGTCAGGAACACATCAGGAACAAACTGAGACACAGGCTGTGTCCCAATCAAGCAACCGCACGCTTCGTAGTACCCATACGTCATGGTCTACATGGGGCAGGTACTACGAAGTACGAGAAGTGCAGAAGTGAGAGGCTTGTGAAATGGGACGGTCTGGCCTTCGTCGCGCTGCTCAGGTTGCCTAGCAACCTCCCTCAGCTTTTATTACTGCTAATCATTTATTTAAGCTCAGTTTTTAAAACCTTAGGATGTAACTAGCCCAGCCCATGCAGCAGTATATGAATGACTAACCTCGTATTGTGGATGGATTATCTCAGTTGTTCTCCTGGCTGAAGTTTGGTCCTTTTACAGCATCCTGCCATGCAATTACATTTGTTCCTGACCACCGAGAACACTCACGTTAACTTTTATCGAGTGGAAAAAAAGTTAGCTTGTTTATATTATTCTAACATAGCTGTTTTGCTAGTGGTCACGTAGCACATCATTATATACCAGCTAGCCAAACTTCAGTAACCCTACAAACATCACTGCTGTTTAGTTTTCTGTCTTCATTTATGTTGGAAGTGATAACAGAGCTGTACATTTTAATTTGTTTCCAAAACTCCGCAGTCAGGACATGCTATATTGTATTTAGATAGAAGCTAGCGAGCTAACTTCCTGCTAACTTCTAACTCCGTTAAATGTCATAAATTCCGTTTTCATAGATGCCTCAATTGTTACACCTGGTAGAGCAGAACTCTGATCATTTTATTAAAAATGAAAGACTTTAGACAGTTTTTCAACTCTCAGTAATGCCATAGTGATCGTTTGATATATGGACCTGCAGCGGAGTTTAGGCCCAGACACGGCTAGTGACGTCAGACTTAACGACCGGATTGAGCTTTGAGGTTCCCAGTCAAACTTTGCTTTGAAGCACATCCTAAAAGCACTTTTACTCTTGTATTTTTCATAAAAAGATACCATACCCAAAATATGAACTCTAAAAACAAAAAACAATCACAGGACATTTTGCAGAGTTCAAAACTGCAGCTGCAGCGCAAACTACAACAAATACTGTTTGTAAACGTGTCCTGGAGTTTATGCAGGTGCAGACATTGCTACTGCTGTAAGTAAGCCTAACAGCTTCCAGATCATTTATTCTGGCAATATGGCAAGAAGGTCATCACTGCTTCAAGCACTGTCTGTATGATCTGGTCAGAGAGCAAGGACAGCAAGCAGTCCTCTGCCCTTGAAGAAAAGACATCTCCCCAAGATGAAGAAACTTCCTCTCCAGAAGATGAAAGGATAATCTCCAAAGAGGCTGACTGCATCACAACTGATAATGAGTACTAGCCAGTGCCTGAATCCTCTTCTTTGGGGGAGGATTGGGGTTGGGGGGCATGGAGGTGGAGGCCGAGCAGCTGATGGAAAAGAACATAGGAGCATTTTCTGAGACCGAGGAGCCGGTGACTGAGTGGATCCCTCATGAAAGGAAAACCATTTGGGTCCCTCTACTGAAGAGAGACTGCTCTACAATCCAGTACCCACTGGTATCAAACCAGGGGTCACCCTGTATGCAGTTTCCTGCATTAGCAGCCTGAGGTCTACTTTTGACTTTTTTTTATAACAAAGGAGATCTTTTAGCTGCTGTACACCCTTACAAACCTGCACGGGAGGCGAATGTGTGAGGATTGGAGGATTACAGATGAAAGTGAACCAGAATAAAGAAATACATAGCATGTTGGATGACAACACTGGAAGTTCTAAGGAAGTAAAAAATGGCATGGGGTTCAGACTCTAACTGACGGAGGAGCTCCGAGGACAACGTCTTTCCTTCGGTCACCTTGGCAGAAGAACTACTCAGATGAAAACTGGAACAGGGGAAACAACCCAGAGCTTCCTCCCCAGCTCCTCCAGATGCAGCAGAGGAAGATTTTGTTGTATGTCTTTGGCTTCACCAAAACTACCACGGCGATATCACACATGTCAAAGCAATGGAGGAATGTGCTTCTTTTGACAGCAACCCTCAAGGAACCAGCAGTCAGTGATGCGGAATAAAGGACCTGTGAAAGCAAGAAGCCATGCTGGACTACAATAGGCACAAATACAGCTTGGATAACTTAGAGAGGATGTTGGCACCTCGAGTTGTTGAAGGAAAACTAACTGATGGCTGCTGGCTCTTCTCTCCAATTTCCTGGATTTCTTGGGATACGATGCCTTTGTCCCGCCGGAAACAACTTCACTGAAGTGGGGGAGTCCTCTACAACCTACAAATGAAGAGTGATCCTGGGAGAGCTGGGGCACATGCTGGTGACCTCAGCAACTGCAAGACACCCTTGTCCCTGATTCTCGGCCACTTCTGCCATTGATCTCAAGATACAGTAGTCTGAACCAGAGTGTGACCCCAGCAACAAAATGAGAAGAAGGTGCAAAAGGCGCACCTCCAGGATTGGAACAGCAGCCCCTTGCACCAGGTGTTGAAAGTGTGCCAACAAAAACCACTCTAATGTGGTTAGTACATCTTGCTGCTAATGAGGATGCACACAGAAGCACACACTGGAATATAAATTTTGATCATTTTAGTGGTCATTTCAGTAGTTATTTAGTCATTAAATTGCCTTTCTGGCCACTAACACACCACGTGTGATTTTCTTTTTGGCCATTCAGCCGAAAAATAAATAAATAGATAATAAATCATTGTTACTGTTACTGACCTGCAATGATGATAAAATATAGTAGGTTTCATCATTCATATGCTAAAAAATATGAACTTTATTGCTATTTTCCCCCAAAAGCGTAGCAATAATACATAATCTGACTGGTATTCAAAGGGTATAATTTCTGAATTTGAATTATATTTTGGTTTTCATGACTAGGACCCATGCTAATTTAAAAATCAAGTCAATGAAAGTAGAAAAATGTTTTAATATATATTAATTTTATAGCATTTTGCAAACGAAAACATGGGGTGGCAATTTTTAGCCACGAACAAGCTGAGAGGGAGTTTTTATGTTTTTGCTCTCCCTGTACAAAAATAACAATGTATTATAATCAGTGTTGATATGAATCAATTACATGTCCCAGGCTCTATTATTAATAATACAAGAAATTTCAGTAGCAATGCAATTATATACAATTGTGAGATTTGAGGTTGTCTTCCAGCTAGTGCAGTGGACAAACAAACTGGTGTTTAAAGGGTTAAATTTTAAAAAGTAATAACTATTTTATATTTATGGAAAGAACTGAAGTTAGTTAAAAGCTTTATGCAGAAAAAATGGCAAAAAAAAAAAAAAATTATTAATTACTAATCTGTTGGTGGCCACTTTTGGCCACGAACAAGCTGAAAGGGTAGTAATTTCAAACAAACCCAGAGGGTTCAGAAGGACACCAGAGTATATTCTCGAGCATCTCACACTTCTGATAATCGGTTGTCTGCTTGACGTTTATTCAGCTGTGTAAAAAATATAAATTTTAATCTCAGCCAAACCGATTTACTCAGGAACAAATAAAATACT